GTATTGAACAATCTGGTCAAGGTATATTTTATGTGGTGGATATTAATGAAAGGTCAATTGAATAAAAGTTCAAATAAAGTTAAGGTGATTGTTGTAAATAAAGTACAGTGAAAACAAGCATAGTATAGAAGGAAATAGGAAATTGATGCATTACTCAAGGTCATAAAGTTTTTTTTAAAGATTACCGGAATAAATTTAAGATTTCAGAATTAATTACTTTTTTCTCTCTCCTTTATTTACAATTATCACCTTAACTTTATTTTTATGGCATCAACTTTATTTTATTGCATTGACCTACATTCATTTCCATATAAAACACCTTGACTAGTAAGTATATGTGTAAGCAGATTGTTTGTAATGTTTAGCGCCAATACATCGCATTTTCCAGGTCAATTACCTCGACTTAAATCGAACTGTTTATAAAATCAACGTGTTACAGCGTTGTTGTTTCATCCAGTTGTGGGAGTTTAACCTCTCCAAAAAGTGAAATTAACTACCGAGAAGTACTATACAAGTACAGAACCAACCATATATTGACAAATATATTCTGTGATTACTTCGTTGAATTCTAATGTAGGCTTGAAAATTAAGAATGAAGAAATTTCCGGAGCTTTTGTTCACTAATCCAAATGATTTCATTTCATATTATTGGCTTATTATTGAAGCATGTTGAAGAGAATTTGTTGATTCTTTTAATAAAAACAAATCCTTACAATATTCCATGTTGCATAGAATAATTTTCTATTTCTTTTATTTTATGGGTTTTGTTCATTGTTTCGAATTACGACTTACCTGACCTTATTGCAGCGCATTGAGTTGGAGCGAGGAAAGCGAGAACCCGGCGAAATCACGGAACTTAATTTAGACAACTCTAAGTCTGTCAATGTTGAAGGTCTTACGAATGAATACTCGTCCTTAGAGGTTTTGAGCATGGTAAATGTTGGTCTCCAAAACTTGGCTGGTTCGCCATCTCTCACCAGTTTGAAAACTCTTGAGCTATCAAATAATTTGATATCTGGTGGTTTAGACGACCTAGTCAAATGTCTGAACATCGAGCAACTTAACCGTAGTGACAATAAGATTGAATCAATAGATGTTTTGGTTCCACTAGCTAAGTCGTCTGAACTTAAGAGTTTGGACCTTGGAAATTGTCCTGTCACTGCTACGGAGAATTAGCGCAAAAAGGCTTTCGCAATGATCCCCTCTCTCAAGTATTTGGATGGTCTTGATGAAAACAACGAAGAGGAAGTGTTTGGAAGTGATTTCATAAATGGAGATGAAGAGGCAGATGGCATTGATGAAGCTAACGAAGACGACGAATGTGATGACGAGATTGGCATTGAGGCTCTTCAGCAAAGTGGTGAAATTGAAGACGATGAAGATGACTATGCTCCAGGTGAAGGTGAAGAGGCAGAATTGAATGACTACGAGGATGTGGATGACGAAGATGAAGACGAAGTGGAGGAAGACAGTGGGGCTAACCTTTCGGCTGCAAATGCGAGGGGTCCTCGATGTCCTGGCACCAAGGGGCGTCCTGAGGACACTCAGGACGCGAAAAATGGTGATAATGGCGAGCATTGTGGAACTAAGCGTAAACACACTTAGAATCATGTTGAAGCGCACGTTGAAAAGGGATCAACTGCTAATGAATGAGCAGTTTATTTGAACTTCACTGTTCTTATTTAGGCCAAATTCCTATTGTATATGTTATGTTCACGTTCTTACCCACAATTTATAATTTGAATTTGGACTGGGCAAGGCGTGTATATTCTTCATACTGTCTCCAAAAGCAAAGTACATTGAAGTGAACTTTTTCTATAGTGAACGTGCTGTCATAGCTCACTAGCTGGAAAAATGTCTAATCATTAAATAAGCCGTTAATAATACATTGAAATGAATTTGTAGGAAAATTATCAGTCAAATGTTCTGCTGATTATGGTTAATTTAGATTACTAACCCTAACTGTAACTAAATACATTCATTATCCACTAATGCCAAAATAACTAATGTTTTTTTCGATAAACGCAATCATCATTTTAGTACATACGCATATAAGTGTAGAAAAAATTAACCCAGTTTAACAAAATACAAGAAGGAAACATGCACTCTATGCCATCTCAGGTCATTTTAAAAAAAAGAATCCAATACTGAAGTAAAAAACCTACTAAAATGGAAGTAATGTTGCATATCTGTAAAACGAATAAGAGATTTTCTTTTTCTTGTAAACTAATGTAACTTTGAACGAGTTGATTATTATTTCACTAAAACGTATCATTATTGCAATAAAGTGAAATGAACGAACTTCAAGAAAACAATAAAATTGTCTAGCCAAAAAAAAATTGTCTTCCTTAGTAATAGCACAATCAACTAATTACTTAAAAGTCATTTAAAACATTATTGTTTGTCAGAAGAAGGACTGTAGCTGACTTACTAGCTGATGAAATCAGGATATGAATACTCGGTTTCACCTCAGAGGACGATGATTAATTTTATAATTACACATTTGAAAACCATGAATCGATCAATGTGGATGTGCACTGCTGATGAGTTCCATACCAGGACGAAACGACAGTCCAGTGCTTCCAGGTTTCTTATGGTGGTCTAACATTGAACAATTCATTGTTTCAAATTTGTGTAACTTAACAATCTTCACAACGCCGTAAAGCAAATTTTATACTTATCTATTTATTTAACATTTTCTACTCGAAGAGTCGATTGTTCAGTGAATTGTTTTGATTTTGAGGTTTAAAAATTGATATGTAGTTGATAGTAATTCAAAATACTGAAGTATAAATGACTACTGACAGCAGCTTTAATGGAACTTACAGTGATTCACAATCCTACAGTTAAATAGGTTACAATTAATCCGTTTAAACAGAAACTCAATGATTGTGTGCTTAGCCGTTAAATATCAACCAGCATAAAACCATAAAATAAAATGTCTTGGGATTTATCTCTGATTTTTATCTTTTAGAAGTAATGAAAATTCAAATTCAACACATAGGTACAACTATTTAAAAGCAACCATTATTAAGTTTTGTATTACGATTATTACTTTGACCTCATTTGAATCTATTATAAAGTATATTTAACTATTATAATAAAACAATGTAGGATGTACAACAGTGTATGTAGCAAATGATAAATATCAACCATTATGTAATCGGCCCCATTTGCTTGTATTCTGTCATTACGGTTAGGTGTATTAGTTACTTACCAGTTTAGTTTATAAATCATTTATTTATGCCATATTCACGCTAGTCATTTCAAATAATTAGAATTGTTCATTATCGTTGTTGTAACTTGAATGTGTTTAGTAAGAAGTGAAGTATCAAAATTAATTTAATGCATTGAAAACTAATTTAACACCGATTTTTATTTTGTTGTATGTGCTTAATGAAACATTTTTACTTGTTTAAGAAATGTTTGACAGACCCTAATTAACTGAACTGTGAATTTTCTCGGTTGCATTCCTAATCTAGTTAACTTCAAAGGATAGATCCGCTTGTGTATTTCAAACGATAACCTAATGTAGTTCAATAAAAAATTATTTCAGCAATTCAAGTTATATGAATTGTGTAAAGGAATAATTACATTACTTGATTAGTTTTAAGTGTCCTAAGAAATAAGGCGCGTAGGAATTCCTGATTTAAAAGTAAAAAACACAAAAACTATGTTTATCAAAAATAAAAAATCGCAGTAAAACCTGTGCGAACAAGTTGCATGTAGCATATCGTTTCTCTACTCGATTTAGGATGAATAATGTGGAACATGAATCTAGGAAGAAAATTCACTGTAAAAAATAATTATATGGAACTTCTCACTATATGATATATGTATATCACTGTGACTTTGACTTTCCAGTGCAACAGTACAATAACACTTACATTTGCTTATGGTATATGTCTGGGCAATTCGGATTGAATCAACCGAATACATTATAAATTTGATTTCAGTACCAGAATTAACTAACATTGTATAGCGTTTAGCAGAAAGTGTATTCTATTTTTGTGAGTAAAAATACACAGCTACACCACTTATAGATACATAAAATAAAAATTGCCTAGTTCTATGAATCTTAGAGTAAACCCATACATCTATCGATGAGTTTATTTTTTCATTAGCTTGTATATATAGGCTAGTGTTTATTTGGAATTTTGTAAACTGTTTAATCAGCTTCCTGAAGAAGAATATAAAGTTGAATACATTAATTAATAGTCAATATTTCATTCGAACAACACATATAAGCGAACAATATTGTTTTCAATTATATCGTCATCAGTACAACTGTCTTCCTACTATCCGCTTGCACTTTTACCTATTCTATGTAGAAACGTAATCTATTTCATTTCATTGTGATTTATTGACTCATAAATTGCCTTGATTGGTCAAACATTTTCATATCAATATTCATGTATATTACAGTAAAGCCTGATGATGGTCTAATTGAAAATAATATTTCATTCATCACAAGTGGTTACAAACTTATCGTCTGTGCAATAGTTTTTATTTTATCCCATCTATATATATATATATATATATATATATATATATATATATATATATATATATATACACCAAGTAGACAAATTCATACGATAAACCTTTAACTATTATCCTTATTTGATTCATGATGACAAATAAACATTACTCATAATATGCGGTCTGCAGACTAAGGTCATCTCAGATAGTTTAATGAGTAATATGAACAGCTAGTTGAATATGTTATGTCTAATACGAACGATATTTTTTGCTACAGATGTTGACATTACACTGTCATAGCCATTAAAAATTATACTGTCAGCAATTATATAACAAGTATTACATCAGCTGCTAAAAAGTAACATTCTAAATATTTATTTTGTTAATGAAGTGTACGACACAAAATTCTTCACCAACTATCACCATCTGATCAATCGATTTACGTATTTATGGATAAGTTTTGTTATTTTGAATAATAAAATAATAACATATTGTCTATTTTCACTGTTTCGTTCCAGAACTATTATACACAAATAAAATTAGTGTAGTTAATTTCAACTCTGGCTATCAATATACATATCAATGGAAAATTGTTCATGAAATGTATCATCCCAATAAATTGCATGATGATGATCATATGAAGAGTGATAAAACAAGTAATCAGTCTTTTAGTATCGAAGGATTAGCTAAGATTATTACTGGACAGAGATGTGATATGAGATTAACTGTAAGTGATTAATTTGCCTGTTTATGTGTTTTGATAGTTTTCTCCCGCCTTAAGGAATAGTGATTATTATTATTATTATTATTTTTGGTTCAATGAAATAAATGAATTCAATCAGTATAAAATGAACAAATAATAAGTAATGTTAATGGTCATTACGCTTTTTCATTTACAAAAAAACCTGATCATGTTATATAAACAAGAAGATTAATTTTGGCAGACTTTTTTTTCAGTTCTTTTAAATGTCACATTTTGGTGTCATTAATTCAACTAAAATACACAATTTAGTTTATTTTAATTGTATTCGCAGATGCGCAAGATGTTATATATATAATATGACGGAAGCAGATATTGCTAAAATATCCTTCAAACTAAAGTTATATTACATTTGTTTCAATTCGAGTTGACCAACAAGACTACCAATTTAAAGGAATGACATTAAATGTTTAAAATATATATCTCTCTTAAAGTAGTAACCATATAAATTCCCATCATTGTGGCTTTTTATTGAAACTAGACAACGATGTTGAGCCACTGCAATTAAGTAGTGGGAGAAATGTCAAATAAATTTATTCCATCAAAAATACCACTGAGTGAAAGTGCATTCAAGCAGTTGAGTCGCATATTATTGATTCATGTTTTCATCCCTTTATCAGTTAATGCATTTTGTATTATCCCATTGAAAGTTATATCATTTGACATTTGTCTTTGTGCCGTCTTATGTTTATATTTCAATTGGCGACGTTCTGCTGTAACGTCACGAAAAAGTGCTATTTTAATGTATCAGAAGTTGCGACAATTTCTATGAATGATGACATTTGTATATAGGTACATATATATGTTTACATGAACATATAAATCAAATGAAAACTATCAATTAAACATTCTTTATCGAAATGTACACTTAACTAGATCAATATTAATCAGAAAATAACATTTTACTGAGAGTATTATAAACATAGTTCTGTAAGACGACTGTCTTTTTTAGTAAAATAATAAATTTTGAAATGAACAATTATTTTTCCATGTAAGTAGTTTCTACTTATTCCTTTTTTTGTTTTAATATTGTTGATAATAACTAATGTTATATGAGTACATATGAACTGTTTTCTAGCTTTATCAAGTAGAACAAAGTGAAACAATTCTACCAACTAAATATTTGTCTTCTCTTGAAAAATATCCAATAAAATTTTGTCTCAATAATGGCAAACTTCAGTCGTTTGAATATTCATGGAAAGATGAAATATCTTCTGTCAGAATTAAAAGAGCTTTATTAATTCAATTGCAGATGTCTTCACAAACGTATGGACTACAATTTTACACGAACGAAGTAAGTTTGGTGCATGTAATATGCATAAAAGGATATTTCAAAATCTCGTCTTATTTCATTTGAAAACAGTGTTAATTACAGAATAACAAATAGTTTAAGTGATCCTTTTATTTACAGATGTCGAAACATAGTTTTGATTATTCGAACTAAATTTATTGAAATAATTCATGTTTTGATATATGCTTATCTAAAATATTAGGAATTACTTACTGACACCTGTTACCCTCATTTGAGTATCGGCCCCCCACCAGTTTTCTCCAACCAACTCTGTCCTTTCCTTCACTTTCCAATTCTGTCCAATTTTTGTTCATTCTTCTCATATCTTTCTCTATTTCTCAGTGTAATGTGTTCCTTGGACTTCCTCTTTTCCATTTGCCTTCAGGGTTCCAAGAGAGGGTTCGTCTTGTGACGCACTTAGGTGCTTTTCGTAGTGTGTGTCCTATCCACTTCCAGCGCTTCTTCCTAATTTCCTCCTCCGCTGGAATCTCATTTGTTCTATCGCACAGTACGTTGTTGCTGATGGTGTCTGGCCAATGGACCCGAAGTATTTTGCGTAGACAACTGTTAATGAATAATTTTATCTTCTGGATGATGGTTTTGGTAGTTTTCCAAGTTTCCGCTCCTTACAGTAGAACTGTCTTAACATTTGTATTGAAAATAGTGACTTTGGTGGTGGTTGATACTTGTTTGGAATTACAAATATTTTTCAATTGTAGAAACGCAACCCTTGCTTCGCCGATATGCGCCCTCACATCTGCATCCAATCCACCTTGGCTGTCGATGATGCTGCTCATATATGTAAAGGTGTTGACATCCTCCAAGGCGTGTCCATCAAGAGTGATTTAGTTGGCCATGTTGTGTTGTATCGGAGAATCTTGCCACACCCTAGCTGTCTACTGTATCCTGTGCTTCCCACCAGGTGTTGACATCTTCATAATCCAACTGATAACCAGGAGAAATAGGAAGGGAGAGAGTAGGCAACGTTGCCTGACACCGATATTCACCTCGAACAAGTCTCTCAGTTGTCTTCTGTGCGCAATTTTGCGTTTTATTCTATCACAAGAATTCCGTATGATGTTGATCATCTTCTCAGACACGCCGTAGTTTCAAAGAAGCTTTCATTGTGTTTTCCTGTCCACGCAATTGAATACTTTCTCGTTGTCAATGAAGTTGATGTAGAGTGGTGAGTTCCATTCAATTGATTGCTTCACAATGATCCGTAGTGTAGCAATTCGGTCAGTACACGATCGACCCTTACGAAATCCAGCCTGTTGATCTCGAAGTTGGGAGTCTACGAATTCCATAATTCTGTTTAACAATACTCTGTTGAAGACTTTGTTTGGCATTGAGAGAAGAGTGATACTTCTATAATTCTCACACTCGCTGAGTTCGCCTTTCTTTGGTTTTTTCATGAGTTGTTCTTCTTTCCAGTTTGTTGGACTTGTTCTTCATCCCAAATCTTGTAGAAGAGAATGTGAAATATTTTTGCAGTTACTGCTACGTCTGCTTTCATTGTCTCTGCTGGAATGTTGTCTGGTCCTGCTGCTTTGTTGCTCTTCATTTTTCTGATAGCCATTCCGATCTCTTCAATTATTGGTGGCCCAACATCGATTGCGAGGTCCGTAGATGCTGTTGAGTGTGTTCAGTGGAGCTAGTCCATTCAAGAGTTCTTTGAAGTTCTCTACCCACCTGTTTCGCTGTTCGTCAATGTTGCTGATTACTTTGCCTTCTTTGCTTTTCACTGGTCATTCTGGTTTACGAAAATTTCCAACGAGCTTCTTTGTTGTATCGTACGGTTGTCTCAAATTTCCACATATTTATGTTTGTCAGCTCTGAGACTCCTCTTCACTTGCTTTTTTGCTTTTGTGTATTCAACCTGTGCCTTTGCCTTCGCCGCCACTTTTCGGCTGATATTGACTGCCGCTTTCCTGTTCCTCCTTTCTTCAATTTTTTCAAGAGTACCAACAGGGACCCGTTCCTTATGATCGTGCTGCTTGTGCCCCAGAACCTCCAGACCTGTTGAATTTTCGCCTTGTTGATCCCTTTCCAATCGTTCTCCATGCCAGTTTCCTGTCAATTGCGTAGATTGTGCAAGGCCTGGAACCTACTGTTGAGTGCTATCTTGAATTCGCTGATCTTTGCAGTATCCCGAAGAAAAGCCTTATTAAACTTCCGTGATGTTGTCTGCCCCGTTTTCCCGTGCTTCTTGAGTTTCACTTTCATTTCGGCGACTAGTAAGTGGTGCGCTGAGGCTATATCAGCTACTTTCTTGATTCTAGTTTCCTCCATAGTCCTTCTGAACTTCTTAGTGAAACATATATGGTCGATTCGGTTCTGAGTATTGTGATCCGGTGAAATCCATGTAGCTTTGTGTATGCGTTTGTGTGGGAAAATTTTGCCGCCGACTGACTGCAGCCCCTCGTAGAATTGGTCTCTAACGTCTCCATTATGGTCGTTGGTAGGCGCATAGCATTAGATGACGTTCATTGTAATGTCCTCTTTCTAAGATTTGGAGGATGCTTTGATTATCCTGGGTCTATGAGATTCCCATCCTATCAGTGTCTTTTGTACTTGTTTCGACGGCATCAGTGCAACTCCCTGTGAGTGAGGCATTTTCCTCTTCATGAATGAAGTATTACAGCAACTTTCTTGAATCTAGTCTTGGTTTTCCAACCTTAGTTCAATGTGTTTCGCAAATTCCAAGCACCTGCAGGTTGTATCTTTTCATGTCTGCAGCAATTTGGATCAGTCTTCCGGTCTCCACATTGTTCGAAAATTGCATGTACCTAAAAGAATGGTTGATTTGGTTATGAGAGGGGGCATCGGCCTCGTGACCTCCGAAAGAACTCGGCTTCCATCAGGACACGTCTTAACTATTCTGCAAATAGACCGACATCTAGCCCAACCCTCCTCCATTGTCCGGATTTGCGACCGGTAGTAGCCCCAGAAGGGCTCTAGGGTGAGTTAAAATATTAGGAACACTATTATATTATGCTACTGTCTAATGCTTAAGGTCGAAAAATACGACTGATTTTGTGGAAACATTTGCTTACCATCATCAACGGAAACAAACAAAGAAGGAAAAACAAGACATTCTGTTTTATGAAATCATCTAGCTACTAAGAAGTATGACGTTCCTTCCATTGAAAGTACCCTTCGCACGGAAACAATTACTGATCTAGTAAATCACCCACTGTGATCTGAATGGCAATCTCTTGGAAATATTGTCGTTTGCAATGGCGCCGGTGCATTTATTCTCCTTGTTCTCTCAAATCCTAATCTTCTGGATTCTTCAACACCTCTAGTTTTGTTTTTCGAAACTTATCTCACTGAATCATACTTCTTGAATAGTATCTTCTAACCCTAACCTCTCCGATTACTTCTAATCCCCTTACTACCTCTACTACTATTGGATTTGAATTGACAATTACTTATCTGAGCTGATGTGGTATCGCAACATGAACTGATGTACTTATGTACAAAGTTCTACGTTGCATCTGACTGACTGATTGTCGATAATGCAATTAGATTCACATAAGACTTTAATGTGCGTTTCGACCGAATATTCAGCAAAGAATAATTGAGTGTTTTTATAAAGTAGAAAATAGTGAAGTTTTTTACTTCCTGCAGCTAGTATACAAACTGTTTTGACATAAACAGGAGAGCATAGAAAAATAACCCTTGAGAGTACTAATCGTTATTAATTAATATCAATATGAGACTCAGTTAAAATCAGGAAGAGATAGATAACTATTTAGTTAAAATATTTTTCAATATTTGAATATAATCAAAAGACCATGTTCGTTAGTAATACCTTTTACCGACTTGATGCTAGTACTAGATTCAGTGTCTGCATATGTGTTTGTTTGGGTATGTGAGTGTTTCCGTAATGAAATACACAAATGAAGATAAATTATAATTGAATTTCGAAAACATTTTTATTATTTTTTGGTTTGTACATTGAACAGTTTTCGTTTGCATTCTATCCTAAATGGAAAGACAGATGAACTATTAATTTTTGATGGTAGCCTCACGAAACTACGTCTGTTCGTACAGATCATAGTCTTCATTGCATCAATCAATAGCATCAAATATATGTTTAAATTTATATTCAGGTTGGCTAAAAGCTAAGTAACACTGTAAATTGTATACTTTAGTTAAGGTTGTGAATCATTCTAGAGATTACTTACTTTTGTAGATTACATAACAAAGTGATAGTACTTGTAAAAACTAGTGAAAAACAGAAAACAGAAAACACTGGCCAACTTCACATTGTACTATGGAATTCCTGTGAAGTAGGTGATTGGAAATGGTTCAGTAATGTCACGAGTTAACAGGTGTTGCAAATACAAACTACTGAACACCAGCTCAGTAGGCTAAAATTTAAGTTTAAGTTTAAGGAGCTGGGTTCGATTCCTGAAGGCAGGGTTGTAGGTGTCCATTTATTATTGGTTTACAACAGTTGTCTAACACCAGTGCAGGATATTAACCGAAAAATTCAACAATATCGACATAAACGTTTTACACAAATTATTTGGCATTTGTTTGTTATCCACAAGGTTGACTTTTTCAAGAATGAGGTGCTTCTTCATGCCGTTAGCAAATGAATAGAACTATGAATACATGCGAATAATTTTTGTGCCACACACAAAATATATTGAACAATAAATAATTAAAACTCAATTGTACCACATCATTTAACGAAAGGAAAATATTCAAATGGTGCAAACTAAATGCAAATCTGTATTTTATTTATCTAACTAGGTTTAAAGTGTTGAAATGATTTGTTTGAAATATCAGTGACTAATCAGCATATGGTTATTTCATTTTTAACTATCAGAACATGTACAGATATTTTTTGAAGATTTAACTTCCTTTTTTATTTCAAATGTTTATCAACTTTAGAAATCTTAAGAAGTAAATATTTGCAGTTCAGTTTATTTCTTCATTCTGCTAATGATTTTGCCAAATAAAAAAGCATGAGTATGAATGGATATTTAAATATAAAGGTCATATCATAGAGAGAGAAGAGTCAAGCGGCAAAATAAAAAAATAACAGGTTTCAAAGGAGTCATCCAGAATATATTGTGCCTTTAAAAGTGGATTGTTGTTCAAAAAAACTTCATTGCTTATGATTCTGCATATTCCTCGAAATGGCATGAACCGGTTCGGTTACATCGAATTCATTCACTGATTTACTCGTAGATAATCACACATGAGGAGAATATATTTAAGAATAACGAAGCATGTATCTAAATGATTCAACAGACATTTAGCATTGAATATTCTGTTGAACTGGGAGAAAAATCCAATGATAACCCCCGAAAACACTAAACAAGCTAATAGAACTGATCTTAAAACAGCTTTAGCAGCTTCAGCAGCTACTAGAGGTCTCAGTCACCGAAATATTCAAACCTTTGTTGTAGGTGCGTAGACTACTTGTTACTTTAGATTTTTCTTGGCAAACTTCAGTCTATTTCAAGAACTCAATTGACTCTACAGATTCTCAATTTTCATTTTAATGATTTTTCCTCCCTTCAACAATTTATATGTAAATATAATCAAGTTCAATAAATGTTTAGCTCAAATATTTCATTGATATATTATCGGAACGTTTACATACTAAAATTAATTTGAATAGAATTTCATTTCAGAAAAGCTTTAATTGGTGAAACAGATATCAGTTTTGTTCTCATTTGAAATAAAATTACTAAAATCAATACTGATCGTGCAAGCGCTACCGACCAACTTCAAAAAATCAGGATACCGGCTTTCAGCTGTGTACTGAATCATATCGGAAACTGTAATAGATTGGACCAGATAAAAATAGTGATAAGTTGAAATTAGTAACTCAGACTGCTATTTTTCCGGCTAGTGATTAGGATGCTTATCACCACACTTGAGTTTGTGAATGGGAATTTTCAAAGTGAATCTTAACAAACCATTTTATCTACTAAAAATCAACTGAAAACTAATGTCACCTGAAATCATAACACAGTTTTCACATATTGTTATTATTATTATTATTATTATTATTATTATTATGATCGATAGAAATTGAATTAAAAAGGCGGGTGACATGATGCACTGTGAAATAAAATGTTTATTATATTTGTTTTCACTAAAGATGCTATGTTGCGATTTTCAATGTTATTCAAATATATCATTGTGTGCTATAAAGCATTATTATTATTATTATGTTTGGCGAATTTTTCATAATTGCAAAATGACTTAATTAACTGTCCTATATACCGAAATATTAGGGGAGATTTACCAATTATCAGCAGAACACATAAGTATATTTAAAAATTCATAAGTTCTATATTACTTGGATACTTCATATCGTGAAATTCTATTAAACTTCTATTTTATGATAAAGTTGATTGACCTCTCAGTTTCGGATTTTCGTCCACTGGGAACATAATGTAGGAATACATTAATTTAGTTTGATTATTGGTAATTATATGTTTTCATGTCAATTGTTCAACCAAGTAACCTGTAATCATTGTGAGCATATCATTGACATTTATGAATTGTAATATGATTACACTAGGAAAAAAAATTTCTTGAAAGAATTTTTTTCGCGCTGAATTGTAAACTTAGCTTGAAATAAATTTATTATGGTTGAAAATAGGTGTTCCATGTGGCAGTCATTTGATAAGTTCTAAAAAAAATATTAATAAATTTCATAATAAGCTGACACTAGTAAACTGTGTTTCTTTTAAAAAAAACTAAAGACATCATAGCTGTTTGATTAGGAATAAAGATTATCTATTATTTAAGGTAACATTTAGAAATATTACGCGATTTGTAAAAATGCATATTTTTCTATACTCAACTAATTTTAGATAGATCATCTGGGTTCATGTCAAACACAATATATTCCTAAAACTATTAATTCACAATCGGTAACCATGATCAAGAAACGAAATTCAATGTTCTGTAAAAATGAATATGAAGCATCCTCTATAATCGATAATTTGGCATCAAGTGATCAAAAGTTTACAGTAAGTTTGTAATTTGGAAAACGAATGTTGCGAGTGTTTATTAAAATTAACGGTATAGCGGTACTATTCATTTGTCCAGAATCGAACCTTCTTAACTCTTAGTTAGGAAAGTCGATACAAAAATAGCATGAATCAACAACCAACACAAAACATTGCTAATGATTTAGTGACGGGAACATATGAAAGCTTTATGATAAGTGTAATGAATTCTTGATAAACTCTTACAGTTTATCTTCAGCTTTTAAAGTAAGAAAGTAAAGTGTTCCGTCAAGAGAAAATAAAATTTTTGCACGGCTAAGCATATTTATGCGTTATTTACCCTTCATAATTCGCGTTTTGTCTGCCAAGTTTGGAAGGAACTAAATCAAAATGAATCACCAGTTGTGTAATGATTATGTTGATATTTCTTCTGACTATTTCAAAATATAAATTGAGACTTTCATTGACACTGAGAATAAATGCATATTTAAACAAACCAGGGACACACAGTTTACATGGAATGAAAAAGTTTGACAAGATCAATCCGATATTAAGTTGAAAGTATCAACAATAAGTTTGAGATTTTAAGATACGAAACAACATTACTACGGTATTCTATGACTGTACAATCGATATAAACTAAAATACTCTGATTGCTACCTTGCAAATAATCCATGAATAAAGTTAATTGTCACTTTGAACAGATTTGTTTATTTGTTAGTCATATCAACAGTGTTTGGTTAGTTTGTTGTTGATGTCTGCTAAATTCTAACATTTGTAGTGAATTTTTTGATGACTTTAAAATTTATTATTATCAACAACTGGTTTTTATGATTGTTCCCAATAAAAGTCACTGTCAAATCAAGTATTTCTAGATAAAATATTTTTCTGTGTCATTGTTAATGGATGCATCTCAAGTATTGTGAAAAGATGTACTCTGGTGAGCTGGACTGCCAACTGACTAACAGGTATGGACAGAGTGTTGAATGTAAATCTATTTCCTCACTACAGTGTAAACTTCATTGTTATCCATATGAACCAATGGATGTTTCACAAGCTTTCTAGTGATGTCTCATGTTTAAAAATGAAATTTCGGTGGTCTAGTACTAGTCATTATCACAAATAATACGGGAAAGTGATTTTACGTTTTTTCAATGTTTATTTATTTTCAAATGTTACACAGTTGACTGTTTTTTTTATAACCTGTATTATGAGAGGGCATTAAAATAATTCTCATGACAAAACCTTACTTTATACTGTTTGTATTTTACAGGTTAATACTCGATATTTATATTTACAAAGTGACTTAATCTGTGAATTAACATATACACCAAATGGACCTATGAAAAATGTTAACTGTGAAGAAACTTCAGTCACTCAACAACAATGGTTTCCACTGTTTTTCATTAAAACCTTAACTTTTAAAGTAAATATGCACATAAATCTAACTGAAGAGACTGTTTATGGTGATGAAATTACGAAATGTAAGTCGAACCATTGTGTGCTGTTGGAAATTGGATATGTTCAGTACACCTTTTTCTGATCGACATTTACAGTTAAATATTATCACTTACGACAAGAGAATTTTTATGTCTACCATTCGGGTATAGTTAGATGATATGAAAATGAAATTGACAGTTTTAAATATTTGACAAAAAATGAACTATGCTTTCATCGATAAAATAAAAAGTACTAGATTAGAATGTCATTTGTATGGGCGCTCTGTGATTTTTAAACGATAACTTAATTCTCATAGGAACTGTAAAATTATAATTCGATATAGTCGTAAAACTATATTAACTGCCAAAAATGTAAGCATTTTTTATTAGCCACGCAAAGTCGCATTTTTTAATGCATTTCAAGAGAGTTCTATTTGTGTGGGCAATCTAATTTGATCCACAAGAGCAACTTAGTTTATTCGCGTACATCGACGTAGCTTAAGGCCTGAGTTTATTCTTGATGTGTTTACGAAAGTTAGAAAACGAAATAAACTACTGCCTAGACTGGTGTATAAAATGTAGACATATTTATCACCCTAGCTGGAGGTCTATACTAAGTTACAAGGGTGTAAAACCATAGGAAACATTATATCAAATAGTTTAACTTTTTACAAGCAATAGAAAACAAGATATTTAAAATATTTTTTTATCAAGTCATTTAAAATCTATTGCAAATAATTTTTTATTTATCATAGCTGTTAAAACCATTATCTGTAACTAAAACTATTGAACACACTGTGTTATATTATACAGACTTTTGATTATTGGTTATTAAAAAAACTCTAATGCCTACTAATGATATAAATTGATCGATTGCGGAGTAGGAACCAGGGTCATTGTGACTAGTTTTTGGTGTTTATTGAAGCTAATAGTTAACCTTCAGAGAATTTATTCATTTGAATAACTCCATTTTATTGTGCGATTTCATTTCGAGATTCCGACCAGCACAGTACGTTTGTTCAGGGTTTCATGGCAATTTCCTTTGACAACACGATACCAGATAAAATGAAAATGATATAATGGTCATGCAGGATTTGTAATCGATAGGGCTAAGGAATGGAGGACATTGTTTGGTAACTATCGATATAAACGTAACAATTTTTCCGGAGATGATATACTATCCGTTAGACTCGACCATCATGACAGCGGTGGACTTGAACTCCATGCGAAAAAATAACTTACTGCAATTTTACATTTGTGACATGTTGATGATGTTGGCGAGAAAATTTTGATAAAAATAAAATAAAATCGATCACTAGATTTCAATGAGATGTGAACTAAACCTTTCTACTACTATTTAAAACGTGATAATGTAGAAGTTTTGCCTTCCGTAGGTAGCTAGAAAAGTATTTTTTCTCGGTGAAATCAACACAGGTCAAAATGATATTAAATAAAAAGACAAACAGCTTTGATGACGCTAACATAAATGCATTTAAGTAGATCTGACGTATTCATACAACATTGTTTGAAATGTGTAAGCTGAAATATTTTTAACTATGAAGCTAGTTAACTCCTAAAAGCTGAAAATTAGTTTGCTTAGTGAGTATTTATCAAAGGAGTTAATATCATTAACAGAATCTATTTTATTTCTTTGAAGTTTAAGATATTGAAAATTGCCACATTCTTGTTCGTTTGGAAAATCGTTTTCCTTTCTTTCAACAACCGGTTATGTTAATAATTGCGAAAACACTGGTTTGAATTAATCAGTACCTAATTAGTGAGCAGTATCAATTTACGTAGCTGTCATTGAAGAGTAAAATTAAATCTGCCCCCTTCATCATCTTGTCATTAGATTGTTTTCACTTACCATCGAAATATATTATGTCAGCAAGTGTTGGTGTTGCTTAACAAAATCATTGACTTAATCAGGTTCAAATCTTTGAGTAAAACATCAATGCGCAGTTGAATGCAAAAAAAGTTCGATGATGAACATCACAAAAGACCTTGGAGTAAATTGACTTTTGCTATCTAAACCGTAATTAACTTTGAACCGGAAGTCATCAACATATTGATTTCAATATATGTGTCTTATTAACCCTTGATAACAATTATTCAAATAATTTCATTTAGCTTATTGACTTGTAAAACATAAATTTACATACGGCTATTGAATTTAAGGGAACAGTGTCTTGCCCAACACATTTTATTTCATGTTACGATGTATAATCGATTTGTAGATAGTTTAGAAAGTTTTTTAATTTCATAGCATACCCATTCATAACAGTATTTGGAATACCTACCCTTCATTTCCTGTTGTTTGATCCTAATATCGTATGAAGACGACCTTCATTTGAAACATCATCTAATCCGTGTACCACATTTCCTATTCATACTGTATTATTTAATAAATTTTATTACCGACAAGTATTAGTTTGAAATTTAAGACAAAATTCCCTAATAATAAATAATGGGTTGAACGGAAATTTATAATTCTAGGCTCACTAACATAATAGGGAAAACTCACTTTTTTTTAAAAGGATCAAACAAGTAACAGTATCATCTGTCAGTACTTGATAGTCTTCATTGTTTTTTTTGTCTATTTCTTGAGCAGACATTACGTTTTGAAGGTAGCTTTCATTAAAAAAAAACCAAACTGTCATTAAAGTGACTGTTGATTATAATTCATTAGAACTATCTAGGTGTGTTGTTGAATGATTTTTACTTACTTCATTCGTTTATTCATTTATTTACTGAATAAATAGACAGTTCATTGCATTCAGCAAATCAAACTACGTCATTCGATTGACTGACTAACAGTCTCATATCGCAAAAATCATCAACGAACAGTTGATTTTATTTTAAAATTGATTCTATCAAAACATCAAGTATTTAAGCTGGCTTTAATTGTTAAACAAGCAGAAAATGGATTGTGAATGATTATCGACTGTGAAAAAAGCGTATTACTCTCATTAGCAAGCACTATTGCATTTATTTCATGAAAGTTGTATAACCCAACAGACTGAAATATTTACGCAGTTTTATCTTGAAGTATTTTCATACTTGAATTTTCAACTAGTGTTGTGTAGTGCCACTCTCGGTTCACTTACTAGTTTTGTGTTCTTTTCCAATCTATGGTAGAAAATAAAAAAATATGAACAAGAGTTAGGGGGAATTGTCTGGTTTATTCCTTTTTTTCTCCGTAATTCTTACATTCAATAATAATACGTAAACTATAAATAAAAAAAATAGAATATATCGTTCATAGTTTATTAATCAACACTGTATGCGTCAGAGTTCTAATTTTTGGAAAGTTATCAGAGAAACAGCTCTTAGCAGCTTAGATCATTACAAGATCTTTTAAAAAAAAAATGTGTTCTTATTTCGTAAATTTTCATGCAATCTAAATATACATGAGTTTACTTTCTACAATGTAACAAATAAAATTACGATGATGTAATTATATCCATGATGAAAATAGGACACCGAGGAACGATAACCATATCAGAAATCGAGAAAGAAAAAGTTGATTCAATATATATAAATAATAAGAAAATCTTTATGATAATTTGGTCATATATTGGCACAAATTTTCTGTAGATTCACGCGAAGCATTTTAATGAATACATAAAAGAAAAAACTGTTTACACGGATCACTAATGATTCTGTTTTTAAATAATATGGGTAATAAATTCAATTTACAATGGTATTCTATCACTGCGTTTGATTTTCATTATGAATATGAGGAGGTTTACATATCACAAAAGTGAAGGGATTGAAAATTAAAGGGATCTGAATAAAATCTAATCATTCTACACGAACTATGTATTCCTACTTAAAAAAATGCTCTAAGGAAACAAAGAAAGTTTATTTTACTTATGGCCGCCAACGAATTCTGTATGACTTTTGAAATGCAAACCAATTTTAAGGTGGACCAGATGATTTGGATAAGTAATGAGGTTTCGGATCTAAATTATCTTTTAAGTTTAGAAGTTCGGATTGACATTTACAGATTAGGATCAGGAGTCAAAAGTTACGGTCAGAGTTATGGTTGGAGTGCAAGAATAAGTTGTAGCCGCATGAAGGAATCGCTATACACCCAAATGACTCACTTTAGAAATATATAAGTCAACTTTAAGGAACGATGAAGAAATATGGTGGAAAGAAGTAGAAATCTTGGTAGAAGTAAACATTATAGGAAAAATGTAGGGGCTCGCTTTGAATTCCGTAATTTCCATTGTGTGGAAATTAGGTTCTTGCTTTCAGATATCTTAAAGCTTTAGGATAATTTGAAATATTCAATTTATTACAATTTTTAGTCTCCTCAGGTTTATGGTTTTCAAGCCTTTTTAACGACTTAATAATAGGTTTTACTGAGTATTTAATAAAATACAAGCGATCTGTCAAGCGTGTTTTAATACTTAACCCGAAATCAATGATTAGAAAACTATATTTGGTCTACAGAAAAGAATTCGTTAGGAACTTATAGTAATTTGTCTAAATTAACATTTAATAATGTCTAACTTAACCATTCATTCTAATCAATTTGAACAATTCAGGAGAAATTAAAATTTATTATGACTTATTTATTGAACAGTGAAATACACTGATTTTAAAGATTTGTGAGGAAAATTAAATAATATAGTCTAGAAAAATTCTCAAAATCGCTGTTGAGAAAAAATGAACTCATAAAAAAAGCAGTTAATTGTTCTCTAGTGATTTTCAGAAATAACATAAAACTTTTAAAATGGTATAGTTTTTATCATCAGATCAGAGAAATATCATGAGTGTTCATTGAGGAATAAATAATCTTAGGCTAGGACGAGCCAGGATATTAAAATGCTATTACCACAAAACCATTTGACGTCAAACATCAACTAACATTATGACTGAGATTTATCCCAAGAATACTGAAACTTGTTTTGTTTCCCCCTAGACTTGATGCTTAATATATTGAATATGGAAAATAATCGTAACTGAAACATCGTTCTATTGTTTCCAGCTGCCTTATTAATTTTTCGAAAAGAATATTTAAACCGAATGAATGTTGAGGATGACATTGCAAAAAACATTGTACTTACTACTTTTATTGATGAAATAACCAAAGAGTTTAGCAATGAGGAAACATTTCTGAAATTTACAGCTGTCTTAAAAGAATTTCTCAAATCAATCTTGACAGAAAGTTTTTAGTCGTGAAAATTTGTATGAGAATTTTGTATTTTAAAGTCAGACTTTGATATTAATTGTGAAAGTTTTCAAATTAGCAGAATAAGCTGAAAGTTATTATTTTGCCTTGTACAAAAAATAGATCAAAACATTCATTTTTTGTGAAGCTAAAGGTATAGGCAACTTAGGCCCATACAAATTAATCGATAGTGAGAATATTTAATTACAAGTTTATACATTTAGACACATAAATAATTACAGATTAATTAGAGATCATATTTCATAATTAGCTATTAAGTAGAATATAAAAGAGAAAAATATTAGTTGGCAAAAAGTGAAATGAAAATAAATGCGAGTGAGTTAGTAATTATAGGCTAAACAACCTTAGTATTTCAACTGACACATTGAATAAATGTTAGTAGTATTTTCAGCAGAAACACATGACAATACTGTAGTAATTTTGGTGAAATAAAATCTATCTAGGTATTTATGCCACATCTGCTTAAACAAGTAAAATGTCGTGAAATTCTAACTAGCATTTTAGTCTATTCGGAAACAGAAAGAGTGAGTTGTAAAACAAGTGAATGTTTAAACTTTGGTTGACAGTGTTTTGCGGATTACGACTTCACTGATATCCGATACCATAAAAACACAGAATCTTTGAGTATACTGGATTTCCTTGGAGAAAAACTGTTTAATAAGGCTCTGATCAATGGTTTCAAGATCTGTATTTGACACGAATGTTTATTTGAAAAGTAAATGGGGGTCTATTTGATTAGTATTACCCTTTGAAAATAAAAAGCGCTAACCCATTTACAGTGCGGTGTATACTCAATAAGCAACTAACTGATAGATAATTATTTATCGAAGCTAAAAATATTCATGTTGAAAATGAATGCATTGTTCGAGAAGTTAAACAGAACTTTCATGCTTTCTCCTTTGTAGTTAATGAAATATCTGAAGTCGATTCGGAACTTCCTGATGAAAATGAAAATCAGACATTAGTGATCGAGAAAATTATCACAAATCAAAGTTATATTAGTATGGTATTGAATTCACCTGAGAAATTCAATGATTTCATACAAAATCTCAAGTATTTAACTTATGAACAATGGAAAATAGTGTACGATTCATGGGAACTAAACAATCAAACAGATGGTATGATGTGAGTACATTATTTTGTGTAAATAATAGTGAAATGCATTGTTTGTTCAGATATTTAGTAAAAGGACAAATAAAGCGGGAAAAAATTTTTCTGTTCATTCGGTTGTTCAGTATGATTTATGAATGTAAATATAAATTTCCTCTCAGTCCAGCGTTCTTGCATAATAAAAAAATTGTGTTATTCTTACTAAGTTCTATCATTCAACTGGTTTTGTTAACCTTTGACTGTATGTCAAGCTTTCCATCGATCTTATCACTAATCGTACAATTAATTTCATTTATAGTGAACTTCCTAACAAACACTTTACCAACTTTACGATTATCGCTCCGTAAAGAAATATTCCACTTCATTCTATGATTAATTATTATTCCTAAATATTTAACTCCTTGTTTTTTTCGGTTTTGTTAGTCATTAACAATTATTTTCATAAGCTTCAATTTGTAACATTAACTAGTGCATCATCAGGTGACTCGTATATTTTATTATTGTTAAATATAGTGTAGATTCATAATGAAGACCAATCAACATCCTATCAGACACTCAAATTTAAAGGTGAAATGCAACCTTGAACAATCAGGACTATGTTTGAATAACTAGAGTGAGCTTTATCTTGAAATCATGAATGAATCATCGTTAGGCCACCATTAGAAACCTGCAAGCACTGAATGGCCGTTTCGTCCTGGTATGGGACTCATTAGCAGTGAGCATCCATTAGTCCCGCTCCTCTCAGGATTTAAAGCGTATTTTTTTGAGAAACCATCCTATTTTTTAATTACGTTTATTTCACAAAAAGACTATTGAAGTATCAAATAACGAAAATGGATCATGAAGGAAGTATTTACCCACAAAAATCATTTCCACCGATAAATGCATCCACATATTTTGATAAACATTGTTTCTGTCTCAGATAGCATTTTTCAATGAAAAGAAGTATGCTAGTGATTCTCACAATACAGAAGAATAAATCGTACAAACGTTAAGGCGTTTTATTTCGCTCTTACAATGAGAATAAAATTAGGTCTACAATTTTCGTATAATTGTCTAGAATGTTCGGTATACGAAACAGGATTAAAACCATATTGTAGGCAATAGAAATGACTGCTGCTTTATTCTTTTTTTTTTCACTTCTCTATTTAGTAGTAGTAGTCTCTGTTTAATTTATCTAACAGTTCAGCACATTTATTTCTTGTTGTTTATTTTTTGTCTCCTTTTTTCTCGACTCACTATTTATATTTCTTAGATATTTACAATTGACCCGGCTAAGTGCTGCTATCATGAAAGCATAATTAGTAACATTTAATTGTTCTGTCACGACTAATACCGATGTTAGAATTTTAAAGATTCCCATTGTGAAAATTAGAACAACACATATAAGCGAACAATATTGTTTTCGATTAGATCGTCATCAGGCTTTACTCTAATATATATGAATATTTATATGAAAATGTTAAACCAATCAAGGCAATTTGAGTGATAATCACAATGAAATGAAAAAGATTACGTAACTACATCTAATAGGCAAAAGTTCAAGTGGATAATAGGAAAACAGGTGTACTGATAGTAGTAAGAAAATTTGTAAAATATGATAACTAAGGTAGGTCAAGGGTGGATGAATACAAATTTTCTTACTACTATCAGTACACCTGTTTTCCTATTATCCACTTGAACTTTTGCCTATTAGATATAGTTACGTAATCTTTTTCATTTCATTGTGATAATCACTCAAATTGCCTTGATTGGTTTAACATTTTCATATAAATATTCATGTATATTAGAGTAAAGCCTGATGACGATCTAATCGAAAACAATATTGTTCGCTTATATGTGTTGTTCTAATACCGATGTTACAAACAAAAAGGGACATATAGTTTTTGTGACTTAATTGAAATAGAAACTAGGCGATAATATGAAGTCACTGTTGAGGTACGTTATACTTGATGGTTAGTTCGATAAGGTCAATACTGTTCACTAAAAAAGACGAGTTAATGCACTACAAAAGAGTTATGAATGGAAATTGTATAATGTGAATACAGACAAAACTTATGTTGCAGCACACATAAGAATAAGTTTAGTCAACATAAAAACATCAATTGTCAAACAGGTCTCTAGAAATCCGAACCTGTTTTCACAATGCTAATATCAACTAATTGAGATTCCAGAAAATAAAACTACACTTCTGTGCTAGTCAATACTAAAATTTACTGCTCTATTTGAAACTGTAAACTACATCATTAGTTAGTTTATTATTTTTCTCCATGACTAACAGTGTTTCAATAGTAAACAAATGTTTATTTGATATTGACAAAACATTTAAATTACTTTCGTTGACTTATGAATTTCGTGTTGTGATTCGCTTTGAATTAGTTGAAAAACAGAGTAATCGAAGTTATATTCTATAGGGGTACTGTTCAGAAGGTCAATACATTCTTATTTATATGAATTATTTTACAGGAAATTTTATGAAAATGTTATTTTAGAAGTTCAGACAGAAGCTTCATTGAGATTTATCATCAATCATTTTATAGTGAATGCCAAAAATCAATCTAACCAGCTTAAATGGATCAATTGTCTTAATGTCATCAAAAAACCAACTATTAAATTAATGAAAGAGATCAAGGTAAAATTGACAAGTTTGTTATTTTTCGAATTGAATTGCATTGAAAAACAATTCACACAGATATTATTGAACATCAAACAAGCTGTCGATCCTCATAATCATGTTTAAATGATCTAGTTTAGTTTGAGTTTAATTTGTGTGTTGAAAAGTCGGTATGCCCGACGATGATGCACTGATGATCATACAACAACTACACTAAATACATTCTAGCTTATAGTTAATAGAAAACTCAGATATTATTTTTTAAGAAAATCTAGCATAAATCAACACAAAAATCTATGAGAACTTGTCTTGAAATTAAAATACCACAAAAGTCACAATATGCAATAACATGCATACTCGTTTGGTAGATGCACATACATATTTTCTTTCATCAAAGATGGTTAGATATCAATTAATCAGAATGATAATGCAGAAATGTAATACGAATAATCGTGTTGTTGAATACAATGAGTAGTTATGTTACATAAATACGAAGTGAACATACTGCTATAATGAATAACTACATGCTGTAAAGAATGTCAGCTGTAGTACTTTGCATATTTTTATCTACTACATATCTTTAAAGTGTATGCAGTATCTTAAATACTGATCATTTTTAGCAATTCGATATGTCAGTGACACAGATATGTAACAGTGTCAAAGTATCTTCAGATTCGAATTTTCGTTGTTCAAATGACAAACAGTGTGAGATTTTTTATAATAGACTTTGGTTAGTAGCTATTTTCGAACTGATGGATATGCGCAGATGTTATAAAATCGCTTGAAAATAAATTTTATAATGCAGCTATTGTGTCCTACATCAAGATTTGACTAATAAACTTAGTTTCGACATAAATCTGATATTTGAAGCAATGTCAAACGTGACAAACGTTTTTATGTTGTATCTAAGATGAAGTAATGGCTGTCAGTACCAATGTAGGCTCAGAATTTAATCTGTAATTTGTCAGTGAACAGCTAACTTGTTTCATCGTTGAGTAAAGCTTAACTGTAATCTTTACTGGTTGTATCCGTGTCACAGAAACAAAATACTACACATGATCTTAACTCAGCGAGCTGAGAAGCAAGATGATGTTGAACAACCATACTGATGAACTATGCTATGAATAAAATCGGAAAAAAATTTCAATTCATTTTCAAGTAGCAAGCATGTAATTAGTGCCAATATATCCGATATTATATTATAATTTTACAAAATATCGATCGATTTCAACGATATTTTTATACATAAATATAGGCTTGATAAATAGTGAATTCGTTTCATATATCTTCTATTGACAGAACTTGTTAACAAGCCAGTTATACAATTACACAGTTTATTTTGTCAGTTTATGCATAAAACAATTTTGTGAAAATAATGCATCATGTATGGAATATCAGATAATCAATGAATTGGTAGAAATCATTGAAAACACAGTTGATTTGCAAGACAGTATCAAGGTAATCGCTTAAGAGTACATTCATTGTGAACTGTCCTCTTTTTGGTGTTCTTATCTTTGGTCTATATTTTTTATAAACAACTTTTGATCAATAGGTAACTTTATTTGTCACTTCAAAAATGCTTGATACTAAATATTGGCTCCGTAATAAATTGTAAATAATCAGTGAAAGAATATTATGCAGCCGATTTTACATCAGATTTGATATGAAAGAAGACAGAATTTCTGAATTACACATTCTTGTTCAATTATGAAACGGCTTGACTAACACCAAGCTCAAATGTAACTTTTATTGATAATCATGCAACAATTTCCTTTTTCTGTCATAATTTCTTCATTTGTATGGTTAAGAAAATACATCATCAGAACAATACATGGACGTGAACATTATTGTTTTCAATAAGATCATCCTCAGACTTTACCTCAATATGCCTGAATATTCATATGAAAGTGATAGAATAATTACGACAATTTATAAGTCAATGAATGATCACAATGAAATAGATTACATAACTATACATGATAATTGAACGTTTTCATATAAATAGTTATTAATATTAAAGTAAAGCCTGATGACAATCTAATTCAAAACAATAATGTTCGCTAACATGTATTTGTTGTTCTAATTTTGAGAATGGGAATTTTTAATATCTTAAAATACTTCATTCATTACTTGTCTATTTATAGAATAGTTATGAAACATACTGCTAAAACTCGTAAATGTATTAAATTTCCGTGTGAAAAAGAAATAAATTTGAGAGGGAGAGAAATTTCAAATCATGTTCTTTGTAATTAGCTATTTTAAAAAAAATCTTGTTCATTAATGTTTAATTTGTGAAAGGTGATTGACTCGCTCGCAAATATGATCACTATCTAGATAATACATGTTTTTTTATATTTAATAAATAGCGTTTTAACACCGTTTGAATGAAATACATTTGTCTTGGTTAAAGCACTTATGAACAAAATAAAAACAACAAAAATTTTGACGGGAAACAAGTTCATTTCCTTTCATGCTCTTTTAATCTTTAGTTTATGCAATAAAGTTTCTGTAAATATGATTTAATAGAGTATAATTTAGTGTCACACTCCCTTACTTTTTATATATTTTTCAAATAGATAATAATTGTTTACATAATGCCTCTGTGTTATTTTCATCTTATTTGTATTTTAACAACGATTCAGCTATTTGAAAATTTATATTTCACGAATAATTTTCAATGAAATTCGATAACCATTATTATTGATATATGAAATTGGTATTTTATTATACCCATTTATTTGTAAAATAAGTATAATCATAATTGTACAGTCTTAAGATGCGTGACTGAACTTTCTGTCTTCTGGCTCATTAGGCATGACTATTAGTTGACCAGAGTGAATGACGACTAGCTGTTGCAGATATTAATACAGAACTTGTTCGTAGTATAAGCCCGAAGCAGAATATAACTTTATATTTTGGTATTTATTCTCTAAGTAACACAGCTGTGTCACAATTCGGAGTGAAACTCGACTATACCTATGCGTATACTAGGCAGTGTATAGTGTATGAATGCAAGTTTATGTATACTTGCGGGTTGTAGTATATATGCTTATATGTTAATAGTGAAAGTTTTGTTCGCATGACGAGTGGTTTTCATATATACATGTTACACATACATTCTTCTGTACCAAGACACAAACTGGTGTATTCAGCTTTTTTGAGTGGTTACGGAGTTCCCGTATGTAAAATTCTAACTAATCTGTCTTTTTTAGAGTATCCGGGCTTTGCTTTGCTTCAGTGACGGAAAGTCACTCTTTTTCTTAGCTAAAACTCTTTACTTTTGTTGAGAGGCTTATAAGCTTTTTCTGTGTTGTTGAGCAGGTAATAGCATTCGAATTTAAAGTAACACAAGACTTTAAAACCTTAATCCTTAATAAATGAGAGTTTTAAGCCGAAAAATGTTCTAATTCTAATTACTTAGTAACAATGAAATTTAGTCGACTAAACGCAATTTAATAATAAACTACTAGTGAACATTTTAAACTAATACTGTGTTTATGTAGGATAGAGAGAAAAGTTAAAATCAATAGACGTTGCTTTATGTTAAAAGCAATAGCCATTAAGATTAACTAACTAAAACCCACTCTCGAAAAAACAGCATATTCACAATTTATTTAGCTAAAGTAGTGCGCATAATTCGACTAATATACATACACCTTTCGCTCTATATTTTCATGGAATAAATTTATCTGATTCAGTCAATAACTGCACAGCGCTTTTGGCAGTTTAATCTGAATGCACGACATTTCGCTGACTCAATCTAAATTCATATCATGGTATACATGGCTAAAGCTTTAGTAAATATAGTTGAGGTTATCTTCTATGGTTCGTTTAATCAACTGATATGTCTTTTATTCAGCAGATATAGCCGTTTATCCTTTCTTTACGTTGTAACAGTTAAATTTATATCATAGATTTTCCATAGGTTTGGACATGAAATTAATTTGAATCCGTAATCCTACTTTAATATGTTCATAACAGATAATTGTTGATGACTGTTGTGTGATGACTGTAATGTAATGTTTTTTGAAAATTAAAAATTTGTACGTGCCACTAGTCCGCTAAATGAAAGAAGCAGGTTCAAATATTTGGTTTATAACACAGTTTATGAACACCAAAAGCATAACGATGACCTCAACTTTCAGATATTAAATCTCGTTATTAATCACTCTCCGTTACCCATCAATATTCCTGCTAGTTCTAACAAAATGTTAATTTACCCATAAATTAAGTCAGTTATAAGACGAAATACTACTATAAATGCTAGAATTATTCTGTTAACAATCTTAAGGTCATATTTCGTACTTCAGAAATGTATTTCATTTAAAATTTATGATAACTTCCGACCAGTCTGCTTAATTCTTATGTAAAACAGCTGATGAGAATATCTTAAAATGAATAAATTACTTTAGTTTGGCCTTAGGAATGCTTGTCAATAACTGTTTACTGTTTATTTCCCATTGACGATTTAGTCATTAAGAACACTTGAGACTATTGCAAATATTGGTCCGGTGTTATCTTCGCAAAAAGTAATTTCGATTATAGGGAAAATGTTAATAGATCATAAAATTCAATCTGATGACAATATACGATTATATACTGCAAAAATAGCTGGTCAGTTGAAGTGTGATCAAGATTTAGATGTGAGTTTTAATTAAATTTGTAATCTTTTTATTCCGTATTTGATACATTCCATGCTAATCAAGATGATATATTCGTGAACAAATATATAATGTTCATTGAGTAGATTATTTTGTGACAGGATACGTTTTCTATATGAATCGGATTTCTTTACACTGTTCTATATCAGTCATATGAAATATTAAACATCTGTCATCATAAAAGCTTTGCTTTTACGAATGTTTTTATTTTCAAAGTGATATGATTAGAAATTATAACTTTTACCCAAGTGTAAATCTCTCAACCTGATGAGTGGTTCACAGGAAAGTAAGCGACTAACAAATGCTTCTTGGTATCAAATGACTGAACAACTTGAAATAATCCGTTATAATATACATTATATTCGTCGAATCACTTACTTTAAGACTGAAACGTAAAAAATGATAATAGCAAGTAACTGTTTTCAACTCAAAAAGTCTCAAAAGTAAATGACAATTATGATAAATTCATGACGTAGTTCTGTATAGTTTGAACTGAATACGGTTGTTAATAATATTGTGATCTTCAAGGGAAAGATTTGTGTTTTATTCTCTCAATATATTGCATAGTTCACTAGTACAGATTATCAAAGATATACAGAAAAATAGTCAGATTACTCTGAATACAACATGCGCGATTTTGTTTCAACCGCTAAAGCACTGTTTTGAATTCTTTAAATTGTTTGATTTTAAATATATTCCTTTTGTTTTATTCCTGTACTTTGATTCAAACAAAGTGATTTCAGCCACTGAACATGTATAGTACTGATAAATAATATTAAAAGTTTTACCAAACAAAGCGCAACAACTGTCGCGACAGGAAAGTTTGAAGATTTATTATAACCTTTAATACTGAACTGAGAAAATTCAAATATGTATAAAGTAGATAGTACTCAATTCTCAGTAATTCAGTCTCCCATTCATTGTTCGTTTATAATGCTTTTCAGGTAAAACAATCGGATTTCAGTTAGCCATTCATATACAAGATAGAAAACTGTGAACTCTACAGGTTTTTTGATCGATTTCGTAATTTGCCAACATTGAACATTATTTCTTACTAAAGATATTTTCTGTGATACAATCACTGAAATGGAAATCTAATGAAGCGTAGGATTGTTTTTCAGGTTAATCCACATTCTATCTGAAATGCATAAAAAATTTAAAAACTATTCAATCATCTTTCAGTATCTCTTCTTTTTTTATTATTTATTTCTTATCTGTAAAAACCACAGAAACTTCTATGGAGCATATTTTCAACTAATACTGAGTCGAATGAACTAAGGATTACAATTTTCCATTCATATATTCAATGTCTAACTGAGGATAAACTGAAGAAAATACTCAAAGTTTTAAATAAATCTCTGGACAATCAAGTAAGTTCGTTGATGATTCAGTATATAGAATCTATTTTCTTTTTTACTCCCTAATCCTTAACAAAGCTGAATTGTATTTCAAATAATGTTTTTTTTGGTATTTTATATCTGAAATGAAACAAAAACTACAAGTAGGTGATTTATAGAATTACCGTTGTCTTGAGTAAAGCACTGATAATTATAAACATTCAAAGTTCATAATTACTGATATTTTTTGTGCGGAAAAAACCCCATCTCTTCAACACTTTGAATGCGAATTTCTCTTGAAATTTACAGAGTACGTAGTAACGTGTTGGAAGTTTATCACCGTTTTCGGTAGGAAGTGTGAATCATATTATTATTTAAAAAGACTTACGGAAATGAATATTTTAAACGCTGCTTTCCACATAAGACACTAATTTGATGATACATGCATTTGAAATTATATTTGAAAGAGGTCAGAAAATTCGTTCATTTGAATTTCAAATATTAGTAAACATTCATATTTGATTAACCTTTATGTTTAACTGATGACTAACGATTTGTGCCCCACAACAATGATTAATTGTGCTGTTTTGAAATGATCATTATCATTCCAAACAGCGAAAATCTAAATATTCAAAGAGAATAGGACTTTACTGTTTTTATAAAAATCTTGTTTTGAAAACAATAATCACTTGCAAGTGAAAATCTAAAATGATAGTGTCATCTTCAAGTGTGCACATCTAACTCTAATATGTGAGTGTATGCATCATAAATGATGACTTAGATGTTTTCCATTATTATATCATCAATTTATCAGACTACTAGAAAATATTATCCAACAGTTTAAGAGTTCGCTTGATATGAAATCTGTGCATTATTTAAGATGATACTGAGTGAAAATTGAAAAGTCTGCGACTGTGAAAGAAATACCGTCATTAATTGGGAATCCTTGCAAACGCTTATGAAATAAAAAATTATCACTTATAAAATGTTCAGCTGAATTAGTTGACAAATACTTTTTTTATAATCGATAGCTAATTTTGAAGAAGTTAACTAGTCAAGAATATAAGGGGTGAGAATTTTCTAAAATAAGTACCATTTATTTGTGATAACTTTGGTAGTAATTCTAAAGCAAAGATTATAAGTTGTTCAGACAGTAACACTACTTGCTTACAATTCCTACAACATATATGTGCATTGTTTTATACCGGATAGTAATAATCTAAGGAGATATTTTGTAAGTTGGTTAAGTCGAAAGGCACACACATCTACTTAAGGTAACTGCTCGAAAATCCTGAAGCATACTCTCCCGGTGATAACTTCATGATAAATTAACTGACTGTTGAATATTTTGTGCGTTTTGATGACTTTATCCGGGATATTATGCTGAACATTTATCACTATCAACATTCAAACCGCGTTCCTCTTCTTAAAAATAGTTTTTATTTTGTCTTCATATGGTACTCTGTGCAAATAAGCACTAAATAAATTACACACTAGATTATTGAATTTACTTTCCCGAAAACATTGTTCTTTTAAGAAAACAAATTCAAAGTAGCTTGTCAGAGGAAACCTATGTCTCTAGTAAAATTCATGCTGTGTGTATTTATTGGATTTTAGAATTACTAAGAATTAATTAGTAAGATTTATTCGATTGAATAACTGATTTCGATTTCATTAATAAACCTCAATTATTCATAAGACTATTATTTGTGTTTGATAACTTCGTTGTCAACAGTTATGAGTCGCTATTTGTGAATCAATTATAATGGACAAGTTTACTTGTTAGTTTATTCCAATAAAATACCATGTATTTCATACTGAATAAGTATTTTACTTAGATAAGCGAAAGTCATTGTAATTATAAATAAAAACTGACCGAAAAAAATTAAAATAATAAATAGAGCACTACAACAGATAAATTTTGTCGACTCTAGTAAATAGTGTATAGACGTTACAAATTAGACGATAACTGATTCGTTTTTGCTTCATGATGAAAATAAAAAAACAGTTCAAGATGTAAAAAGCATTTGTCTCACGCATAGTCACTGTTCAATTCATAAGATTATTGCATTTCACTTTATCAACACAACAAAATGACACAGGTGTCCTGTGCCTAAAAAAAATTTACTCCTCTAATACAATTTCTTGGGATAAGTGTGATTGTACAATGTTCAAAATTGAAACAGTTGATGAGATATTTGTTTTAATCGATTAGGACTCAAAAAATGGTTATGACCTAGCATTATTCTCATTATTTTAGCTTACATACTTTTAATGATAGTTTTAAGTACATTCATTGCTGGACAATTCAATATATATACTTATATATATCTATATGGCAGTTAGCAAATTGTATTTTGTATGATAAAAGGTAATGTCAGAACTGTATTTCACATAATGAATTCCGCAAACTTTCACAAAAAAAGATATATACTTCAGATATATTAAGTAGATTTTTTTTCACCATTCCTATTGATTCATCTTATTACTAAGATACCAAAAAAATAAATTTAGCTAAATGAAAATTCTTGCAGTTATAAAAATCGATAAATTTGATAAGTTATTACATTTTTTCTACACATATCTTGCCTTTAAATTATCCAAAATGTTTCAAATTCAATATATATATATATATATATATATATATATATATATATATATATATATATATAACACAAAAGTAGAAGAATAACAAATTTAATATTACAATTTTGTGACAATTTGTAATAGAGTAGATTTGAACGTTTTTCTTTAGCGATGATTTATTTTTAAACGATATAAAAACTAAACATCATACTATGGTACGTTCAAAACACTAACTGTTATCATTTAGTTATGCATAGAATTGAATTTTAATGAGATTGAGTAATATGATATGACTGCTTTTGAAATTTATTTTATGTTCATCTATCATGATCGATATTTATGCTTTGTGTGAAATTTCGTGTCGCCAGTACAAAACCTTTTGTAATGTTTTGTAAAATCCTAAATTTCAATGAAGTAAAATCCTACTATCTAGATATTAGGATTGACAGTGCTGACTTTATGACAGAAATGCATGCAGTGTTTGAATATTGATCGATACATTCAGCTATTAGCAAAGAATATTCAAGGACTTGGATAACTGTATTTTTGTATCTTTATTCATTTTCAAAACCACGTTTGGGCTAAGGGGTTTGCAGATATTATTGAATTTCAGAGAGAATGAAAATCGAGAAGCAGGAGACAGGTGTCTAGTATGAAAACCCTCAACAATGAGCAACCACAACCTTACCAAATGGTCAGGCTCATGGAACCAAGTCTCACCTCAAGACCACTGAGCCAACGTCCTATAATACATACATTTAACTTCCATCAGTTGGCCATATTGACTAAACACCTTTAAATACTTGTGATGGATAACTGTGTCTAATACAAAATGATTAATTTCCATCAATAATATTATTTACGATACCAAAAGGCCTAGCTTCGATTTTCGTTTTGTGGTTGGTACATACTGCGAGGATTCTCGTACTAGGAAAAGATAGCTGTTCAATACTTAGTTGTTTAACTAGCATCAGTTCATGACATAAAGCATGAAATAAATCATTCTCATTGTATTGGTTTTCTGTCACTGAGACCAGTTGTTTAATTGAGTTTATAGATAGTTTCTAATGTAAAACTAATAAGACACTAGAATGTTTTTACAATTAAATGAAATAAAAATAAACTTATATCCTGTAAGTTTTTTTCTGTTGTTGTTGTAAAATAGGATTAAAAAGCGCAATCAATAACACAAAAATCTATGTAACATATCAATGCATAGAAATGTTACATACCTGATAAGTAATATCACTTACTATCTTTAAAAGATAATAATTATTCATAATCAAGATAAAATATCTAGAAAATTATCAAAATCCCACATAAATCTTTTTTTTTTGTTTCATTTATTTCAAAATTAAGGTTTATCTATTTTAATCTATCTTGATACGGCTAGGTGATATTTTAAAAGGGAAAGGGATTTCCTTTGCATCTACTACCGACACTACTTCCTCAATGATTGAAGAGTTCAAAAGGAAGATATATGTAAAACCAATACTATAACAAATATTTTAACCGACATATATATATATATATATATATATATATATATATATATATATATATCAACGATTTATGTTAGCAAAAGATTTTTTTTATGTGATAAATGAATTCACTGTGTACAATCTTTTATTGTCTGAACCAACCAGATTACTTTTGCAATGGACGGATATGATGTAAGAAAGGTCGTTGTGCGATATCACAAATTAAGTTGATAGAACAGTAAGAAGACGTAATTGATCTGGTGTGTTTGAGCACACATATTTACTTGTCAAGGCATTTTATATGAAGATTAATACAAGATCAATTAAATAAAAGTTCAAATAGACATATGGTGATAATTATCAATGAAGGAAAGAGAGAAAATTAACGCAATATGAAAAGAATACAAGCAGATCAATTAAGTCTTCTCACTGTTCCATCAAAATTTGTAATAAAAGGGACTGACTGCTTTAAATGAATTTGAATTTGTAAAAAGACCTGTTGACAAATCCTAAACTGACTTTAAGGCTTTAGTGTATGATCCTTTCAGAACCCATAAATTCCTAAAAATAAGAAACACTCAAAAGTTGCTAAGCAATTGTTCTTTGTTAATAGGCTTTTTTCAGTCCGTCAACTGAAATCACTTTCCAACAAAATGTAACTTATGTGTATATTCTTTTGTGTTATTGTCTTAATGAGTATAAAGTGATAGTATCATAATGAAATTTAGGTAATGACCTGAAACACCTAATGAGCGAAAACAAGTCATTTCAAAATATTTATAACTGTGTTAGTCAAGAATTTTTATCAATCGTCGATTTTTTTTCTATTATGAGGTGTTGAATAATCTGTTATCAAATAAGTTCAGTGTCTGTATTTTGAATACATCCTAATTTCTATCTCCAGTGAATAAATGAATGGGGAAGAAAAAATATCCTGTAATGTCCCTTTAGTAAAACAACGGCATTTAATATTTTTGATTTTTATTTTCTATAACATAATATATATTACATTAAACTATTTTTAAACAAAGGATATTTTACACGTACTATTATAGCATGCATGAACTTAGATAAAATTTAGTTGAAAGTGCGTATTTTGTCAGCATTTGTTATCAAACCGACTAAGCAGTTGAATAGGCATATCAATTTAGTTCTAGAGAAGTTAATAGACTTGAAATTTTTTTTAATGAACTATGAACGACAATGATTTAAAGAATAGATTATAACTGTCATTAACAGTTATCTGACAGCATTTAATTTCTGATGATATAATAATAGTTAACTGTGACAGGCTGTTTCACTAAACTTATGAAATAATAGGATCTATTAAAAGAAAGTGTTGTATTCAAGTAAGTATCCTTATAATTTCTGCGTAAGTTAATGTTTCAAACATCTGACATAAAATTTGATATAGCTTACTTAAAAAATGTTGAATCGTCTTCAGTAGTCTTGACATCAAAATCATTGGATATCGAATTTTAAAATATTCGATTTCATGATAAACCCACTTCAATGAAAGCAAGAGTGTTTACTACATTCTTGCTCTGTTACTTCAAGTTATTTCTTACTTGTACCTTTAATGCATATCTCACTGTTCTAAATAAACGCACTGCTTACGGATAACTAACATCATGACAGTAACTTTTATGACGCGATTGTCATAATCATATAAATCATCTTTTCGAAAGATCTATATTCTCAAATTATTCAGTGAGTTTTCTAGTCTATTGGTTTGTGAGTAAGATGTAGGTATGTTATAAAGCTGTTCGCACATTGATCAGCTGCTATTCTACCACCAATCAACTGGTACTGCTGAATGATTACGTAAGTTTTGGATTTTTATCAAAACCAAATAAACCAATTAGTATGTGATAAGCGTATCTTATAAAAATATCAACTTCTCGAAGTTTTATATGAATTATAACTTTGTTAAAATATAATTAAAACAGTGCTTTTGATTTCCGTCTCTTTTAGATTCGATCTTATGTCATATATAAACTGGTTAGTTTACTGAAAACACAAGATCCTTCTAAGAAACATTTACAGCTAAAAGTTCGAAAGTATGAATATGAAATCATTCAACTAAGTAAAGATAATGGACTTCTGTTTGCAATAAGAAATTCCGGATATCATGAGTGGATCCAAAAAACAAAATATGTAGGTTTTTTATATCATGATTTCTGAATATTTATTTATGAGTGCAGTAAAACAAGTTCCTAGAAGTAATTTTATTGAAATATTTTGTTTTGATGCAGGTTTTTCGAACATTTACTCAGAACTGAATATCAAAATATAAGATCACTAATTTTGATAAGCGAGTAACTTTAAGTTTATACACTGACCACTTCACTGTTCAGTGCTTCCAGTGTTTTTAGTGGTAGTGTAGCTTAGATTAGTTCGCCATCTTTAACTTCTCTAATATAACGAGAAGCAGTCATGTACTGACTAGCGACTAGATTCTAGACGTAATTATGACTTTGCTAATTCGAACAAATATTAAATTGACCTTCATAAATTTTCAAATAGAAGGTCGTCATGAGTATATGGGCAACCAGATAGTACGATACGTATAGGATCAATACATCCACTATTTCAGATCAGTTCCATTTTCTTATCAAAATTTATCAATATTTAAGGAGCTGTTGTTCAAACTATCCTAATTAATATCTTCATGTTCATCGAATTTAAAACAATACCTAGGAAAGAGAAATTTTCAACTCACACACATTTGATCATCTAAAAACATGGCATAAATTATAACCTCTGACTAAGTTCGCAGTTGTAAGAACAATTAATTAGAAAATCTACTGTTATGGAAATGTTTGTTTTTGTTAATCAAAATCTCAAACTACTTACTCATTTACATCATTTTTTTTTCTGTTTTGTTCACATCAACAATAAATGAATCTGATTTCAGCAATAACATCATTTAGCATAGAGTTTTGAGAGGTTATCAAGCACAGTTTGTTTTTTGCTGATCGCTTTTCTGTAGGTGATGCATATCTCTTATTTCTCCTAACTAGCTGCTAAAAATGATCGTCAACAATCAACAAGATTGTTTTCGTTTTTATATAAACCATTTGAAAATAAAAAAAAAACAAACAGATTCATTATTAAAAAGATAAAAAAATGGTTTCTTCGTAATGGATGATAATATGTCAAAAAGTTAAGAATAAATTGAATTTGTCAATCAAACATTTATCATTTTTAGTTTGACTGATTCATTTGACATGCATAAAACGATCAATCATAGAAACTTTATTTATATTTGAAATTAAAGTAGTCCACTAATTAGTTCATTTAGAATTGAGATCGATTAGTAACATATGCCGTTAGGCAGATTCCAACTAACTGATCAACATAAACCCATGGTAAATTGAATACAGAAATACCAAAACGTACTACATGTCTATTGTATTAATCGTGATCAGTTGATTGAATAACGAAGCGGATGATACCAAATGATTAGGGAGATGAAAACGTTACGAATGTCTATCATGCTAACCTACCGTAGTTTGAATATTTAAAGTATATTTATAAAATAGCGAAAGGTACATAGGCAATTATTGGCAATAAAATACTGATAATCAGTATAATTATAGACTGTCAGTTGTACTAAGGAATTGTTGGGGATGTTAGATTCCTAGAACTCGCTCGATAAATACCTTATTTTAGTTTTCACGCTTGCGAGCATGGGCTGAACAGTTGACCTTGAGATTTCATTCTCCAGCAGGAAAATCCATGGCTGTGGTTGACTGCTGTGTATTTTAGTGTGATATTTTCGTAACTGTCCCAAGGACGTTTCTATGATGTATAAATAAACGAGAGTTGTGTGCTTGATTGTATTGTGATTGCTGGGTGTTGTAGAATATACTTTCTACGCCTACAAAGCCTTCTGTTCACAGCTTGGGATTCAAGGTAGCCTATCTGGACGCTGGTAATTGTCTCGTTCATGTTTATCGACTAAGTTGAACTCATAATAGCTTCAAGCGTACCTAGTGACGAACAAAAAAATTTATTAGACCAAATTATAAACAAATGACTCACTGTCTTTAATGTTTCATAGTTTTCAATAAACTTCCAATAAACCGCTAAGCATGTTCAATTAGGAAGTATTTTCGAGTAACATAAAAACCGGTGTCATCACTAAAGTGATTCTTAATTCTAGAAATTGATTTTTATAATTATTTGAACGTGTGATTTTGCAGACTCCATCATTAGGTAACCTAGCACACAAATAACCAATGAGCACCTCTTGACATTCAGCATTCATCAGGAGCAGAACTAGAATTTAATAGTATTCAAGATTTTATATTCTTTAGTTTTCACACGCTAATAAGCGTCAAGATAGTTTTTATTTAAAAAGAACTGAATGACTATGGAGTGATAAAGAGCTGATTTGCTCAGCTTTATAGCTGTTATTCATCACTAAACCTATATATAAGCAAAATATTATCGTTTCGTTTTTTTCCTGATAATCAAAATGCTTTGAGAAGATATCTAACAGACTGATTTCCTCTGTATTTGAAATTAGTAAGATATTATGGTTCAGAAGGATGAGGATACTATTCTGTAACTTTGCATATAGTCCGTGATGAACTTTGGAGTTAAAACTGATTTCAGAATAAATAAGATGCTTATCTCAATCTCGTTGCTGGTGTGATAGTTACTCAAAGTTTTTAAATAAAATTGACTTTAAAGACACGAATTTAACTTACTTTTTGTGTCCGTTCGGTGAATAAATGTGATTCAACAAGTCCTTTTACAGCTACACATACTACTTACTTATTTACACCTCGATTTTTTTTAAATATAGAGTCTCTTGAATGAAAAGTGAAACTAATTACCTGTGTAAACCATCATGAAAATCATCCTTTTTTGAAGAAAGCTCAATCAATAAATATTCGACTTATTGCTTTCTTTGTCTTAATGATTTATTTATTTGTTCATTCACCATGTTTCATTACAGAATAATCAGTTTTAATCAAAATAGTTAAAAAAATAACAATTTCTGGACTAAAACATATTTTTATAAACCTCGTTACTGACTCACAATGAGAGATAACTTTTGACTTGTCAATTTAGCGTGAAGTACTCTCCCATTCATATGAACTGAAAATGTACACATTTACATATTCTAAAATAAAAATTAGACAAAAGATAGCGGTGTTCGGATTAATCCTTTTTTATTTGAGATTCTTTTATGCGGAAAAAAGTTACTTTTACCATTATTGTTACTTTATTATAAGCAGCAGCTAATCAATTGTACAAGTGAGTATATTTTACTTGAAGAGTAGAACTGTTCAAACAAGCATAAATTAGGCATGGGTATTAAGATATCTCGAATTGTTTACTCATCTGAGATTAGGTTCAGATGAGACTTAACGACATAGTGTTATTATGAGCTTTTTGCAGTGGCGCAGGGGCATCCACTCTTTGTGTTCTCTCTAATTCTAACCTTCTGAATTCCTCATAATCTCTATCTTTCTCCTTCTAAATTATACTACTCGAATCATATCTTCGCTCCCTAATCTTCTCCATTACTGCTAATGCTTCTACTATCACTATCACTCTTGGATTTGTACTGACAGTTACGTCTGTGTGCTGACGTGGTATGGCAACCTGAACTGATGTACTTATGTACTAAGTTCTGCGTTGTACCTGTCTGTCTGTCTATCATGAGCTTTCTGGGTCGCAAGCGAAGTTTAAAGGTCTCACAGAGAATACGATATCTTCAGAACGTTTCACCAAAATTTAAACGTGATTTTGTTTGAGATATAACATGCCAATATTAATAAGTAAAAACAATCCACCACATAATATTAACTATTGTAGACCCAAAATTTATTTTGAGGTCAACACACTTTTTGGATGAATAACCAATCTATGATAGAATAGTTAAACTTATGTTATCCACTGATAATTACTTAAACAAAACTTAAGGTTCAAGTTTACAATTTACCAATATCAACATTGAAACAATACAACTGAGTATATTTAATTATTTCTTAGAAACCTCATGTTTTGAAGACTATGAGAATTTAGCTACGTTAATGCAATTATGTTCTCTAATTCAATTATTTCGATGAAGACCAAGTTTAATTATTATTTCTCCAAAAAATAAGATTGACTGTTCACTTTACTGACTTTTCAGTATACTCTTTTCACTAAAAGACTAAACATTCATTCTTCTGTAGTTTACTTTAATAAAATTACTTGGAAGTAATTCATTTTAAGAAAAAAAATGTTATTTATATTTTCTCAAGTAAAGCAAAGATTGGTGTGAAAAATTATTGGATTTCTTTAATACAAGATTCCCTCATACAATCTATTTTTCTCCAGTCATCATTCACATGACTTTTGACCTTGTCAACTATTCGCTGATATCCTTGGTTGATTTTATTCGAGTGTGTATGTATCTTGATTCGCTGGTTACTTGTCTAACTTATTTTGTTTGACTGTAAAACTTAATCATGCCTCATTGCATTGATCTGGCTCGTCGGCCTTCTCCAATTCGCTTCGTGTTTAACTTTAACGCTTGGTATTTTCATCTCCGTCTGCATGAACGATTGCTTGAAATATGCTCATTCAACCTAACCCATATTTGGCAGCTTATTACCTCTGTCACATATGTGGTGTTTGCCGAAGTATGATACATGGAAATTGAAGGGGAGATCTGTTTCACAGCATATTTCATTGTTGATAAATATAGGAGCTAGATAACTGGCCAGTAAATTGGTGAACCCTAATCCGAGTTTAACGTAGCCCTCTAAAAAGGGTATAGTCGGTGACACTATGTATGGTTTGGTTTCTACGAAAGGAACTAATAATAATTCTAAGTACTTACTGAAATGATATGTGATACATTTTGTTAAATCCTATCACTTAATAAGTATTTTCATTCACTGTATGGTTTAACTGTATAACCATAGTTTCTAGAAAACCTTACTTAAAATCCCAAATGGTCACAGAAAACAATAAACTGTATTTAGTCTTAACCTATCCGCACATTTAAAACTCATCAATGACCAATGATAATGCTAGTTTTCTTTTGGCGTCCATTCAAATTACAGCTTAATTTTGTTGTTAATGTTGTTGTTGTTGTTACTGAAAGATTATGTTTGTTTTTTTACAATGATATTATTGCAAACGAAAAAATGATCGGAAATCAAGGTCAACAGTACTAATTACCTTATTATTCTACAATATAATTTTGTTTAATAAAAGCTAGTTAGATAAATTATTTAAGTATTTCTTATTCTACAAATATTCTCACTGAAGCAAAATTCAAAGTAATATCTTTGCTTAATAGTTATACTTGCAAAGAATAAACTGTAATGTTTCATTCCAACATTTAAAATCACACAGATAATCTAATTTATTTTTAGTACAGTGACATTTCATTATTAACAAAAATAACAGAAAGATCTACTAGTCAATAAAGCGAAATTAAGTGACTAATTGAAGAAAACAAACATTATCAATGTCCTTTAATTATGCCTCCGCTAGTTAAAACCATTCGTCGCTAAGTGCTTTAAATTCAAAATATATTGTGATACTCTAGTTATTGTTAAAATGTTCAAAATTCAATGAAATCAGTTTTGGTTATTTTCTCTATTATTTGGTTTATATTTAATTATTTCGACCATTTGCAACTCACAATTGATGATGAATCGAAACAGGATAAACAACATTTTTCCATCATTGAAAAATCGAATTTATAAATTATCCCCACGGCTTATATTGACTAATATAAAATATTTCCCTAATGAAAGGGAATAATGATGATTATTATTAACCTGACTAGGTATTTAGATAGATTTCTGTAAAGTTTATATTGAACAACTGGTTTCATATTTGGAAAGCAGGTTTGAAAGGAATGGATTATGTATTAGTCAGTTGGAATCTTGGTGAAATAATTAGAGGACATGGACAGTTCATTCATGTCAAACAATGTGGAAATTATTTCTTTAGAGAAATAAATTTATTATGCAGTATAATTTTTAAAAATGTCTAGCGTGAAAAAAACTTTTAATCACTTGTTATTACAGTTTCAACTAAACAACTATTTACTTTTAATGCTATGAAAGGCTTACAAATCATACTGATATTAATTACTGAAACTTTCAATTTAACTCACTCCACTCGTTAGCATATTCTTTCCCCATTGTTTGAAAAAGGAAACAAAAATTAAGTCTGTTAAAACGTATATTCATATTTGAAAAAAAATGGTGAAAAATCCCTTAGAAAAATCAAACATTGAAATGAATTTATGCAATAAACCAGTGGCGAATAAATATTGTTCTCAGCATACATAACTATCCACTTGATAGGTATTTAGAATAGAACGATTAAAAATTGTCATAATGACTATTTATTACTTGTGAAAAGTAATTGGAAAGAAGTAGGGAAATCCGAAAGAGTGAGAGAGATTGAACGTATTGTTTTGTACACAGAAGTTTAGTTTGAAGTAATAGGCAGCTTGTCTTAAGGATCTACTCCATCGGTTATATGAATGATTAGGAACAAGAAATCCGTTCAGGTTAATAGTGATCACGAAAGCTTTACCACTTTCGTCATACTATAAAATGTCGAATTTAAGTGAGAACTGGAGATCGATTTTTAGTGCAGTTATATATAGTTCATATTATTTTAATAATTAATTGCGAAAAAATTCACCATTATTCAACTGATATTTTATTTAAAACGATATGACCATATAAAAATACATTTTGTAAAATAAAATTTTTGAATAATCACAATACAAGTATACTTTGAGATGCCGATTCCGCTATCTAACAAGAAATCAGGCAAATTATTTACTACAAGACAATTTATAATTAAAATCAAACTAATAATGAGAAAGCATAAAGAGCATTCAGTAAGGAAAACTTCATTCTTGACAATTTTATTGAGTTAAGATTTACAATCATTTTGAACTTAATTTATTTACTAAGAAATAGTGATGTTGAATAAGTCGGAATTTAGATTGATATTGTGTCGTAAATCTTTTACAAAAACTAAGCATGACAACGAATCTATGCAATAAACCAGTGACTAATAAATGATGTTCGATTCAAAAATAATTGTCCACATCATTGGTATGTTGAGCAGAACAACTGAAAGTTGTAATAATTACCGTGAAAATAACTAGAAAAATGTAAGAAAATAGTATGGATTATGATGGATAGAAAAGGAAGTTAAGATTATTATATGGCAAGAGAGATTTGAGGTACTATTTTGTACACAAAGGCTTACCTTGAAGTTATAGGTAGCCATGGTCTCCGCTATACATAAATTTTCCATTTTTTTACTGGCTTAGGATCTACTCCATCGGTTATATTGTGAACAAGAAATCTGGTGAGGTTAACATTATTATCATCAGTATGGGAAGTAACTGTGATAGTTTTTGCACTATTAAACGACAAGTTTAAATAAAAGAATGTAAACCAATCAAGTCAATTTGAGTCATTAATCACAATGAAATGAAATAGATTACGTCATTACATGTAATAGGCAAAAGTACTAGTTGATAGTAGGAAAACAGGTGTACTGATAATAATCATTCCAAAACATTAAAACCATTACGTAATAAGAAGTGTGTATATAATTAGATAGTGAAGAATATAAACGGAAAGAGACAGAGAATTACAAACAAATACAAGATGTGAAAATAATGCTAATAATAGCAAAATAAAATGTAAACCAAAAAAATTTAAATCTAAAACTGTTAGTTACGTCATTACTGGCCACGGAAGAGATAGCGGTGTCATGAATTTCTTCTGAACACGTAAATTGGGGTTGAATGTACGAATTCCTATGGCTTCTGCTATGTGTAGGAGACGAGACCGAACTCTGTTGGGAAATGAATGAGGTATACGATAGACCACCTGAAAAGATCTAGACTTATCTACAATGTGACCACTATCTACCAGGTGTGCTAAGATATAACTGAGTATTGTTTTTGACTGACACTTCGTAAACCATGCTGGTAGATGTTCACTCATTCGTTGTTTAAGTTGCCTTGTAGTACACCCGATACAGCTATCCCCACAGGAGCAGCTGAATTTGTAACTGCACATAGAGGAGACCAACTCATTTATCGTATTTTATAATTTTCTTACTACTATCAGTACACCTGTTTTCCTACTATCCACTTGAACTTTTGCCTATTATATGTAGTTACGTAATCTTTTTCATTTCATTGTGATTATCACTCTAATTGCCTTGATTGGTTTAACATTTTCATATAAATATTCATGTATATTAGAGTAAGGCCTGATGACGATCTAGTCAAAAACAATATTGTTCGCTTATATGTGTTGTTCTAATTTTCACAATGGGATTCTTTAATATTTTTAAATAAAAACTCTAATGGTTTTAGTGTAATGATGTATAGTTCAGATTGTTTGAGTATTGATTTGTGAATAATTCACTATTAATTGACAGAGTTTGTTTCTTTTTTCTTCTTAATCGACAGGGCAATTTCCTGACGGAATTATCAATAATATATGAATCGTACAGCATTATACCGAACCTCGTAACAATGAAATTAAAATATCAAAACAAAGAAACACTCATAAACATTATTGAAGTTTTATATCGATATGGATATGAAACATTTCTCTATAAAGTTCTAATGAATTTAATGAAAACATTTACATCAATATATATTCCATGGATGAATGACTATGCAGCGAATATTGACAATCAGGTAAATTATTTTTATCAAGTTTAATATATAGTATTTCAACTCGTTTTTTTTAGAATTTTTAAAATGTTTCATAATCCTTAAAATGTTCCTATACTACATCGATTAATATCAACTCAAAATCAAGTAAAATTAAACGACAGATATATGCGCAAGATTTTATGAATCTCAAAGACTCCTTCATAAAAGTTTTTATTGATGAATCATTCTTTAATTTGTATTTGAGAAGAACTTTGGGAAGATCTACAAGCGGAAAACCAGCAGAGGCCGTGGTTCCATCAACACGTGGAACTAATGTAAGTTTGATATCTGCACTAACAGAAAATGAAGTTGTTTTTGCGCATTTTTTGGTTCAGTGAACTCCGATAAGTTCATTCATTTTTTTGATTAATTGATTGAAAAAGGTAATCAAATATCAATGTTTAAGAATTGCTTTTTTATCCTTGATAATGCAACGATCCATCACTCCAATAATACCAAAAAATGTTTTTGTCCCCTTATGGTTATATGCTTAATCCAATTGAATTTGTATTTTCAAAAATTAAATCCATTGTAAGAAGATCACTGGCAAGCGGATTTAATCGCATTTATTAAATTCTGTAAGTCAATTAACCACAAATGATTTACGAGGTTATTCGAGGCATATACGTCGCAACTGTTTAAAAGCAATTGCTAAAGAAGACTTTAATTAAAAAATAGTACTTTTTTTTAAAAAAAAAACGATGTGGTTATTTTAAAAGACACTGTGAAAATTAAAAAAAAATTGGGTTGAAATACTATAAAATGATAGCGAACATGTTATGCCTATAAAATAAACACTTCTATCTCTGTATGCTAACATAACTTATTCAGGATGTTTTTGACAAATTTTATGTGGAGTGGTGTCGTTTTTAATGATTAATAAATTGATTTTAGGTTATTAGCAGCTGCGGAATATCTATCAAATAAATGTACTCATGTTATTTGGCTACGTTATTTATTCTTATTTTATTTAGGTTGTATAAATTCTACAAGTTAGTTTCTGCTCTTATCATCATTTTGGGCAACATTACAAGTTAGAATAGGTTTTAAAATAATTCCACTTTCTGGAGATTCAATCCGATCAAACTATTATCTCAAAAGAATTGTATGGGTTAACCAACAGTTGTAAAGAAAAGAGATTTTCAACAGAGTTCTAGTTATTCAGAATGTCGCAGAGATGAACTCTCTTCACCACAGATTGAGTGTATTGAGGTTTGAAGCTGATCACTTATATAACCAAATTTTTCATAGCTTAAAGAGCTTGAAAATAGAACAAAACAAACTTAATCTATTAACTTCATAGTTTTACAGTTGATTTCACTTTAAGATCAATAATTTAAAAAAAAAACGATATTATGCATTTACAGTCTTTCTCAGATGAATTCAGTTGGTGTATTAACAATTCTCTGTTAAATTAAAAACAATTTTACACCTGTGAAAATATTCACTGCAAGCGGAAAACATGTCCTACCAACTATTGACTGGTTTTCAAAGACTCAATATAATGAATTTCCTAACTGCATGCCTGGTGAGAAAATGGATAAGTTTATGCGAATTACCATGGTCTGTAGAAGATCAATCGAAAAACTATTGATTTCGGAAATACTAATAATAACTTTGATCACAGTACTGATCACTTTCTAACCATGAAGCCCATCATTAGACCTAAGCCAAACAGATTCAAGACTGAAGATTTATTTATAAGGTTGTTTCAATGTACTGGCATATTTGATGTTCTCAAGTATCTTTTCAAAGAACTTGTCGATGATAACACGACATTAACTTAACACAGGCTTTTACATCACATGAAACTGAATACTCTTTAGGAAGGAAGTACAAACATAAATATTAACCTTTTTTACATCATTAAACCTGATATCCGTCTAAATATATTGAATGTTCCTTAACTATCTATAACTGTAGTGCTCATCTGAATAGTCAGTTTTAATTATATTCTCTGATTCAATATAACCTAAACTGCATCTAATTTCAGTATTTTCAAATTCAAATAATGATATGCACTTTGAAATAATTTCTTCGACTTTTATAACACTTGTTAGTCACACGAAGTAAAAAAAGAGTACTAATCCTCCAAAACATAAAAAATATTAAATTTTCTGTAACACTCTAAATGTAATTTATCACAGTTTATGTCAGTGATATAACTTGCCGGAAAGTGATTTGATAGTTAAACGTTTGATATTAGGATGGTATGTTCGTTTTTATTCATAATATTGAATACTAGTTAAATTTGTAAGACCCAATTATTTACAAGATAATTTTAAATAATCTTCAGCTATTGTTTCGCCAGACAACCATCCACTTTGATTACTTCTAAAATAAATTAATTCTGCAGTAGAGGGCATTGTATTAAAACAATACTAACATAAATAACTCTATCCATCTGTTCGATTATTTGAATGGTATCCAGTGTGTTTTTATGTCTCAAAATATTGATCCCACTTGTATACATAGCAAATGAAACTTATTACTAGTAATCGTTAAGCACCCTATAGTGTACTATTTAAACATTTAGATAAAAAATCCTTATCGTTTACGTACATACAAATAGTCAATAAACTTTATAATACGTTCGTTACATCGTAAAATTATCACGTTGCAAAAATTAGATTTCAAAAAGTGTAAGTACTTGGTAGTGAATTTCATGCACTACAATTACGAAAGTTTCGTTGTAAAAGTGAAGTGGTTTTTCTTTATTTTAAGCAAAATGAGAGAATTATCTATCTGTTCAATGGCTTGGTATTTGCTGGGAAATCGATTATTTAAGTTGTGTGATTTTTAAAATGTTCCGTAAAACTATATAAAAGTAATAATGTTTCTATCAAGAAAATGAAATGACTACGAAATTTACTTTTCATCCCAAGTATGTAATTCAGATGGTACCCTCTGGAATTCGAACCAAGCACCACTATGTTTAAACGCCATCAGATTATCTATTTAGCTACTGAGTACTGATAGCGATTCATTTGTGGTTATGATATGAGATCTGAGTCGATTTGAAATGGTTCGCATTTCAAACTGACATTGACATACACACCATTTCCTTACTTACTTACGCCTGTTACCCCCAATGGAGTATAGGCCGCCCACCACTTTTCTCCAACCAGTTCTGTCCTGGGCTGCCCTTTCCAGTTCTGTCCAATTTTTGTTCATCCTTCTCATATCTTTCTCTATTTCTTGGAGTAATATGTTCCTTGGCCTTCCTAATTTCCTTTTGCCTTGAGGGTTCCAGGTGAGGGCTTTTCTTGTGACGCAGTCTGGTGCTTTTCGTTGTGTGTGTCCTATCCACTTCCACCTCTTTTTCCTGGTTTCCTCCTCCACTGGAATCTGGTTTGTTCTCTCCCACAGTAAGTTGTTGCTGATCGTGTCTGGCCAACGAATACGAAGTATTTTGCGTAGACAACTGTTAATAAACACTTGTATCTTCTGGATGATGGCTTTCGTAGTTCTCCATGTTTCCGCTCCATACAGCAGAACTGTCTTGACATTTGTATTGAAAATCCTGAATTTAGTATTGGTTGAATGTTGTTTGGAGTTGTAGATATTTTTCATCTGTAGAAATGCATACCTTGCTTTGCCGATCCGTGCCCTCACATCTGTATCGGATCCACCTTGGTTGTCGTTGATACTGCCCAGATATGTAAAGGTGTTAACGTCGTCCAAGTTATCTTCATGAAGAGTGATTTGGTTGATGCATGTTGTGTTGCATCGGAGAATTTTGCTTTTTCCTTTATGTATGTTGAGACCTTCTGCTGCAGAGACTGCTGCTACACTGGTAGTCTTCTCTCGCATTTGTTGTTGCGTGTGCAATAGAAGAGCCAGGTCATCTATGAAGTCCATATCGTCCAGCTGCGTCCTAGCTGTCTACTGAATACCGTGCTTCCCTCGAGATCCTGACGTCTTCAAAATCCAGTCGATTACCGGGAGAAAGAGAAAGGGTGAGAGTAAGCAACCTTGCCTTACACCGGTCTTCACCTCGAAATAGTCTGTTAGCTGTCCTTCGTGTACGATTTTGCATTTGAATCCATCGTCAGAATTCCGTATGATGTTAACTATTTTCTCAGGCACATCATAGTGTCGAAGGAGCTTCCACAGTGTTTTCCTATCCACGCTATCGAATGCCTTCTCGTAGTCGATGAAGTTGATGTACAGTGGTGAGTTCCAATCTACTGATTACTCCACAATGATCCGTAATGTAGCGATTTGGTTAGTACACGATCGATCCTTACGAAATCAAGCGTGTTGATCTCGAAGTTGGGCGTCTACGAAGTCCTTCATTCTGTTTAACAATACCCTGCTGAAGACTTTGTCTGGTATTGAAAGAAGGGTGATGCCTCTGTAGTTCTCACACTTGCTGAGATCGCCACACCATTTGGATGAATAATAAATCAAATAAGAATCACCCATATAATCCTAAAGTTTATAATAAACGAAACTTTGATTGTTTATGAATCAATCATTCTGCTGAATGCTTGAAAATTGTGATTTCTCATGCTTAGTTTTTTTTACCAATACAAATCAATCGATCTGTGATCCAAGCGGAAATAAACAGTAAGCATTTTAAAAAATGTATCCATAGTAAATGGTCCGTTTTATAGAATTTAAGGCAAACAATTAAATCTTTTGGGCAACTTAAATTTAAAGTTGGTTATGTTTTGAAGTTAAATGAAACATTTCACTAAAATGCAATTATCAAAATCGAGCATTACTGCTTTGAACGAAACAACTTAAAAGGCTATTTGGCGAGATCGAGTGAGTAGTGACTTTACAGTGTGCTTTCAGCTGACATTTCATTGATCAACTAATGATCATTTTGTCTAGCCACTGTAGGTAACTGAAGTATGTAGATAGATTTACAACACAAGAGTTCGATATCTTAAAAAAACTAAATACAGTGTTAACTAAATTTATTACCATAAACTTTATCCGAGTGTGTTTGTAACTGACTAATATTTTCAAAC